TATATATATATATGTTAGGTTAAACAGAAAACCATAATTAAACAAGTAACAAGAAAACAGATCGTGACAGAATACAAACAACCAATTTCCAAATACATTCATTTATATTTACTAGTTGGATGTGTATCTAACGGGTCAATCCGTTTTTTTTTTCATTTTAGCATTATTTTTTTAGAAAAAAATCTAAATATATTAAAATTCATAATTTTTTATCTTCTATCATTATACGTCTATATAATTGTATAGTTTTTTTTAATTTTTTTGTAATGATCTCACATTTATATTCATGCAGTGAATTTGAACTATATATAATTCAATTTTTTTAGTATTTTGAATGTAAAAATAACTTCTTATTTAAATTTTGATCATTCATTTCACAAATTAATTTATTGACAATCAAAAAATGAATTTATATACATTCAATCATGAATTTGAATACATACTTGCATTTACATATGAATCAAACTAAATTCATTTGCAATTTATACTATTTTAAAGTTTTTATTATTTACAAATGAGTTTTATGAGATTCATAAGTAAAATTGTCTCAAATTTACCTATAAATTTAATTAGATCAGTACATATCAATATCATATAACTAGATTTATATTGTAATTGCCCACATTTTAATTTGTACACAATTTAAATTCACACTTTGAATCTGAACAAGTTATAATATTAAAAATATTTTTTTTTCTATATCAATATGGATGTCTATTCATAGAAGACAAAAACTTACAAATTTTGATATATTCGGGGTTTTTCCGATAATATTAAGCCTTAAAACTTTATAAGCAAAAATCATGTTTTTTTGTTATAATCTGGTGTATGTACGTCCAACTAATACATGTACATCACCGTTTTTTGGTTGTTAATCGTTTGGATTCCGATGTTCACGATTGGTTCCTTATTCTCTCTCTCTCTCTCTCTCTCTCTCTCTCTGTGTGTGTGTGTGTGTGTGTATAGTATTAAATATCAGTGTTGTAAACTAGAATTATCACAAAAAAAAAAAAAACTATCGGTTAATTTTTTTAGCAGTCTGCAAGCTTAAGAAGAAACAGACTGCAAACATTTAGTCCACATCTTATCTTTTTCTACAAATGTGGTCAGCATATCACAGACATTTTACCTTTTGAAAAACAAACATCACCTTATGCTATAAAATGTGTAATATTAGTAAAATATGTTTTTTTAAAAAAAATACTCAAGAAATCTACCATCCATTCTCAAAATCGGATTAGTTTTTTTTCTAGGTTTATCACAAACTAACTGGTGTATTTGTTTAAATGAAAAAAAAATAAAAATAAAAAAAATATATTAAAGTATTAACAAACTAAGTTATTTTTATCCTTATATTCATATGTTTGTTGCAAAATACCATTGAAAAGTCTACTTTTGTTCACTCCATTGTATTTTGATGTTCTTTTAACAAATCATGATATGTATGATAATTAGCTTGCAACTAAACTATAAATATAATTACTGGAAACTATTTCCTTACACAATCAATATATGTTTTCTTTTCATTTTTGTAGCACCAAAATTATAAAATAACAACATATAGACGTATGGTTGCCAACAACGCTACATTAATTATCGTCAGACACAAAAATGGCCCCATTATGTATTATAGAACTAGGTGTGAGACCCGTGTATTACACGGGTTGATTTAAAAAAAGATTAAACATTAAATTAAAGTGTAAACATAATTTTTTTTTAATAATGTACAACTTTAAAATAAGAAATGAAAAAATGTATTTATTGCAATTTAATATCTGATATTTAATACTTTACATATATAAGTATATGAATTTAATTTTAAAAATTGAAACAACCAAAATTTGACATGTGGATAATATTTATTTCAAAAATACCACAAAATGACAAGTGTCAAAACTCATGAGAGATTGACATATGGCAAAAAAAACCTTCATTTATTAAGAAGGATTTGTCATGTGTCACTCTCATTGAACGTATAGATATAAGGTGGATTTTTCTAAAAAAATGATTTCTTTATCAAACAATATTAATTTCAAATTTTCACCTTTGTTGATATGTTTATAAACACTTTAACCAGAGTTTGAAGTTTGATTTTTTTGGGTAAAAAGTTAATCACTTTTAAAGAACTAGAATAATAATGTTACAATAACTTGTATGTCACATATTAACATTTTTGTCCTATAAAAACATAAATAAATAAAAAATAGAAAATGGATGTAATTTTATTGACAATTTTACAAAAATATATGTTTGGTATTTGATTAATAGTTACTAAAATCTGGTTTGGTTAATTGATAGGCCCAAAATGGGGCAAATATTATGTGGGCCCAATCCAATTCATGGTGTGCTATGGTGCAGTAGTTGGTAATATCCTTTTGGGAGGTCAGTGCCTCAAGGTCAGTTTTTAGTTTTCTGTCCTAGTTATTCCATTTCACATTATCCTACTACGGTTAACTAAGATAGGAAGATAAATTTTCGCTTAATTTTTTAATTATTTATTAAAAATAGCTAAGATTTTTGGTTATTTCTTAGGCTATTTTGATATTTTTTAATTTTTGGTTATTTCTTGACAAATTGTTAAAAGATTAGTTTATGTTTGTCATCTTCTCCTTAATTTAGTATTCATTATTAATTTCTCTACAAATAAATAACTCATAAAGAAAATACAGATAAAATATTTCTAAAATTATATTCAATGAAGAAAAAATTAGGCCATATTTGGCAAAAATATGTTAGCTTATAAACCAGCTTATTGTAATTTGTTGGTTGATAAAATCTAAAAAGTAGATTATTTTAGCTTATAAGCTAGTATTTTGATAATCTGTTTTGAGATAACTTTTGATAAGTTTATAAAGTTTTTCAAAAATATTTCAAATGTGTTTTAAATTATATATATTCATTTTTTACATCTAAATGTCTATTTATGTCATTTACATTGCAATCTAATTTATAAACTATTTTTAAAAAGCTATTTTAGTATCTACCTGTTAGCTTGTTAGCTAAATGCCGGATCTTACTAACAAAAAAAAATATTGTTATATGAATACATACTTATTTATTTTATTTTTTCTATCACCCACTATTTATTAATGAATAAATGTTTATGTGATAACATTATTTTGATACAAACCATAAAATTAAAATTATGTTTAAACTTCAAATAATAACCAAATAACTTCAAAATTGAAAATTGCAGGCAATATACATACTATGGAATCCAAATGGAACAATTAAGCTTTACGAATTTGTGATTATTTTTGGAATTTTAATGTTGATTTTGGCACAAATTCCATCCTTCCATTCCCTCCGCCATATCAACCTCCTTTCTCTAATCCTATGCCTCCTCTACAGCGCCTGCGCCACCGCCGCTTCTATTTACATCGGTAAGTCCACCACTTCCACAATCCACACATCAATTCAATGCTAAAAACACAAAATTTTAAACAATTTACATGTTTTTTTCTCTTCAGGAAGTTCTTCAAAAGGACCCCATAAGAATTACTCCTTGAGCAACAACGATGAAACTCGAATTTTTGGAATTTTTAATGCAATGGCAATCATCGCCACCACTTTCGGAAACGGAATCATTCCAGAAATACAAGTAATTAAACTTATCCACTTTCGAATTTTTGTGTTTGGATTAATTTTTGGCGGGTTTTGTAGGCGACGCTGGCACCGCCGGTGAAGGGGAAGATGTTCAAGGGGTTGTGCGTATGCTATGCGGTGGTCACCGTCACGTTTTTCAGTGTGGCGGTTTCCGGTTACTGGGCGTTTGGGAACGAAGCCGGAGGTTTAATTTTGAACAATTTTCTCAATGAAGATGGGAATCCTTTGGTTCCGAGGTGGTTCATTATGATGACTAACATCTTCACTATCCTCCAGCTCTCTGCTGTTGCAGTCGTAAGTCTGCTAACTCTGCCACCGGCGAGAAAAGAAAACCCAAAGGTTTTGCCCTAATTTTTGTGTAATTTCGTTTCTTGTTTGCAGGTTTACTTACAGCCAACGAACGAAGTTCTTGAAAGAGCGTTTTCGGATCCAAAAAGCGGCGAATTCTCAGCTAGAAATGTGATTCCAAGAATAGTATCGAGATCGATGTCTGTGATTTTGGCAACGACGATAGCAGCAATGTTGCCATTTTTTGGAGATATTAATGCGATGATCGGAGCATTTGGGTTTTTGCCGTTGGACTTTGTGTTACCGGTGGTGTTCTTTAATCTGACGTTTAAGCCATCGAAGCGCAGCCCAATCTTTTGGTTGAACTCGACCATAGCGGTGGTGTTCTCGGTGGTCGGAGTTACGGCGGCGGTTGCAGCGGTGAGACAAATAAGCCTTGATGCCAAGACTTATAAACTATTTGCTAATGTATGATCTGATTGATATCATTTTAACGAAATTTATAACCCGAAAAGAATATGAGTCGGGTTCAAATCTTTCGGGTTTAGTTATGCATCTATTAAGTCATTAGTGGTCGAATTTGGGTTCAAATCTTTCGGGTTCAAATCGCTAGTCAAATGTGTATTATGTAATTAGTAATTAGTGGTCGAATTTGGGTTTAGTTATGCATCTATTAAGTCATAACAACTCCTACGATAATATATGTAACGCTTGGAAATATCCTATCTTTTTGTTTCATATTAAATACAAGGTATTGATAAGTTAATTAAAGTGTGTGGTTAATCAAATATTTAAAATATTTCAGGTAATAATAAAATAGAGAACCTTTTGGACCAAGCTTACGTTACTACTATTATGTAGAATCCACTTGTTTGTATTTTTTACAGCAAGTTTTTTTTTTTGAACGGCAAATGCATTAAAAGACTAACAAGTTGTTAGCAAAATATTACAGAGTATAAGCATAAATTGATACGAACACCAATCAAACCAACAAATAAACTTAAATAAAGTCTCATGTTTGATCCAATTGAAAGCAGATAATTAGATATCATCTGTTGTTCTAAGAGGGAACCATCTTCTATTGTTGAACACCAACGAGTTTCTCGCCTTCCAAATAAGCCACAAAACTGTATATAATAAAGCCAATAAGAGCTTCTTCTTCTTTTTACTAGCAACTGGAGCTGTCAAACACAATAAGAACTCTTCCTTAAAACTCGAAATTAGTGGAATAACACCACACCAAGAAGAAAACCAACACCAAATCTAAGAAGAAAAAGAACAAGAGAAGAACACGTGATCGACATTGTACTCCCCAGCTCCGCACATCGCACAGACAGTGGAGTTAAGCATAATCCCTTTATCAACCAAATTGCAAGCAACCGGTATCCTCTTCAAAAGCACCCTCCAAACAAAACAATTAATTTTGATAGGAATCCAATTTGCCCAAAAGAAGCCCTACAAATTACTGCCATCATTCAACTTTTGCGTCATCGGGTTCCTCAACGACTGGACAGAAATATATATATATATATATATATATATATATATATATAGTTGAATCGCCTTTCCACTGCCACGTGTCTGGGCGATTAAAGAGGCACAAATCAACAACAATAGCTCACTCTCAACAACTCATCAGATTTGATTCCCCTCCTTGGTTGCCTTTTTTCCAATCACCAATGAACATAACCCCTTGATCAATTTTAACCCTCTCTGAGATCTTACAATTCTTATTAACTTCAATCTTATATAAAACAGGAAAATCATCTTTAAAGACCAAATCTCCACACCATTTGTCCTTCCCAAAATGAGTTTCATCACTGTTCCCCAAAGTTCTACAAAAAAAGCTCATAACGAGATATATCCTAATCCTTGAGCTCCCAAGCGATTTGATAAATGTTAAGCCAAGTACCCGGAATACCACACTTGGCAAACGGTCTCCCATCAATACAAGAAGTGTTATGCAAGGATTTGATGCAAGACGTCCAAGAGAATTACTTTCAGTTTTTAACCTCCACCACCATTTGGAAAGAAGCATAATATTCATAGAACGAAGATCACCAACCCCAAGACCACCTAACTTTTTTTGTTTCGTAACTTTCTCCCGAGCAACCCAATGTATCTTTCTATTGATATCGGTCCCACCCCAAAGAAACTGCCTTCTTAATCTCTTTAATAACTCAATCACCTTTGAAGGAGCCTTGAAAAGCAAAAAATAAAAGAAAGGAAGACTCCCCAAGACGGACTTAATAAGAGTGAGTCTACCTCCAAAAGAAAGATTTCTAGCCTTCCACGAAGATAACTTTGCTTTAAATCTATCCACAATGGTACTCCAATTCTTAGCAAGTTTCATGTTTGTGCCAATAGGAAGCCCGAGGTAAGTAAATGGAAAAGAAGTCGGGTCGCAATGAAGAATATTAGCAAATCGAGTAACATCAAGATCATCCACCCAATACCAAAAACTCTACTTTTATGGAGATTCACTTTCAAACCCGAAGCCATATAAAAACATCGAAGAATTCTTTTCAAATTGACAAAATTAACTTCGGACCATTCATCCACAAACATAACATCGTCTGTATACATACGATGAGATAAAGTAGGTCCATTGTGAGGTAAACAAATACCTTTAAAGATGAATATATCACAAGATTTTTTCATTGAGATGCTAAGACCCTCCATGGTTATAATAAAAAGAAAAGGAGATAGACGATCTCCTTGCCTCACACCTCTCCTAATAACAAACTCTTTCGTAGGCGAACCATTTACCAAAATGGAAGCTTTCTCAGAAGAGATACATCCTTTCATCCAATTTCTCCATTTGACCCCAAAGTTCATTTGATCAAGAATCGAGTCCAAAAAACTCCAATTAAGGGATTCAAACGCCTTATCGAAATCTACTTTGAAGATAAAAACTTGTTTCTTAATCTTCTTTGCCCAAGAAAAAATCTCATTAATAATAAGCGGACCATCAAGTATATTTCTATCCTCCACATAATTCGATTGCTCCAAGCTAATAATCTTTCACAAAACCTTCTTAAGCCTCAACGCAAGAAGTTTATGATTTCAACAAACCTGTTAGCGTGGGGGATAGAAGTATACTTGATGGTCATAAACTTCTTGCTCCACATAATTCGATTGGTCACTACAAACAAAATTACATTTAGTGGCACAATTTTTTAGTGACATATTTTTTCTTGTGCCACAATATCATGTTTTTTGTGGCACAAATATATTTGCGCCTCTAAATGTTTCAAAAAAAGGAGGGAACGACTAAACTTATCCAAAGTAACCGGGTAATTTGAAAATTTTAACATCCAAAGCAGACATATTGTAAATTAAAAATTCAAACAAAACCTCTTTTCCCAAGAAAAAAACTAAAACGCCGCTACTCCTTTATTACTCGTTTCAATTTCTTGACCTAACCCTTATCTCCTTCTTTTCATATTCAATTGCGGTCATCACTTGATATCTCAGTCATCTCCACCTTGCCTCACAGAAGTCATGGCTCGCAATCTCTCTCTGTGCTCGTTACCACCATCATAGAGCGGCGACTCAACCCCAATTTAAACCAACACATGCTACTTGACAACGACGCAGCCCACCATCGGACGGATCAACAGACAATGATTGCATCTTGTAGTTTGTAAATCATCTCCTACCATGTTTATTCTTTTGGACTATGCTAGCTAATTGATTTTTCTATATATGTTCATATATTTGGTCAAGAAGTTTTGGTTTTATGTGAGTTCAAGATATTTCATGGTATAATTCCATCTGTTTTTAATTTAACGAAAATATTGTGTTTACTTATAATATTTGGAATAGCAACAAAGCTCATGGTTTTGTAAGGAAAATCGCGATGGTGGTGCATCCTAAGCTCACAGCCGACAACGTTAATCAGATTAGAGAAGATATCGATTTGCTTTTTTTTTGCCATCGAAGAGATAAATTCCCTTTTTTGTAATTTATATTTGTTGCTCATTATGTTTCTACAAGAAGCATGAAGATTAATTTTGAATGCCCATGGATTTTAAGCGACCACAGCCATCTCTCGGTTTCATTTTTTGGTTCCACAACTACAAGTATGTTTCTACTTATTTTAATTCCTTATCTATTGATCTTGTTGTAACACCCGGATTTCCAGGTATCTCATTTTAAGCATTTATATTGAGTTTTAGAGAGGGACTCGGCGAGTAGTCGCTCAGACTCGCCGAGTAGGATCGCGTATTCTTGGTCTAGTTTAATGGCGGACTCGGCGAGTCCATACGTGGACTCGGCGAGTCCACGCTGTTTAATGAAACCCTAATTTCTCGGGTTTGGGACCTATTTAAGGACCCTTATGGCCATCATTTGCGGCCACCTTGTCCCAGAGAAACCCTAGAGAGAGTGAGGAGGGCTTGAGTGCAAGAAAGGGCTTATAATCTCCATTTTTGGGGTGATTTTGCTAGAGAAAGAAGAGAGGATCCATCTAGAACGAGAAGGGAGCTTGGATTGGAGCTAATCA